AGCCGAATTACCTTGTATAAATCGATGAGAACATTGTCGAGAGAATCTTGCGCTTTCTTTGAGCAACGACCCCTGAAGGACTTGATAGCTTCAATGGCTTCTTCAGTTCTGTCGAGTTGCTTCATCACAACTGCCATGTCTTTTAAGGCACTGTCCACTCTATCCCCTGCGTTTATTGCCTTCCAGAACCATACTATTGCTGCTTCTGGATCCTTTTGTACGAGCTGCACGGTTTAATTAACTTAAATCATGATGAATATTAATTAATTAGTTAATTAATCTTAAACCAATTGTCCATTAATCATTTAATCATGGTCACTTTGCTTTTTCCTTTTTATGCTACATCTAATTGTAGGCTATTTTACATGGAATGCGTACAGATGATTTTCCTTGTCCTATATACACATCTAAAGATGGAATAGGAATATTGAGCGCTTCTTTTTGTCCCTCCTCACCCGCCCCAAATTTAAATAAATATAAGACTTCAAAGTTAGAATTTTAAGTTCTCACAAGTTAAATTGCCTAACATAATATTTCTTTTTGTAATCTATGGATCATTCAAAAATAATTGTTTTACATATTTCTTTCAAAAGAATAAGTTAGTTGAAATAAATTTACTATTCACTCCCTCCTGTTTGAGTTAGTTTTATCATTAATTAAGGTTTCATTTAGGAGTACTTTATGCAACGTTTACTATATTTAAAAATATAAATTTATTATAAATAATTAATTCTAATTAATATTTTATATATTTTTATAATAAGATTTGATGAAAAAATAAGACCCTAAAGTTATAGCACAGTCTAGCATATTATAGCAATCCCAAACAAAGCCTTACAAATAGAGATGTCTAAACTAGTTATTAGAAAGACATTAAATGCTAGTATCTTAGTTTTACTATTATCTCGAAAGAGGTTAAACATACTGTATTTGAATTTTGATTTAATTGTAAATAAGAATTAAAATAAAAAAATAAGTCTCAATTATTGTAATGAATAAGTTTTTAAAAAATAATGAATATAATAAAATGACACAACTAGATTATAAACAAGATTTTCAACTTGAAAGCTTGAAACATGCATGCATAAATGCAAAAGTTAAGCTTGAATTTACTACCTCAAGTCTAATTTAGTTGTATTTAAGTGAAATCTTTTATATTATATAAGTAACAATTACAACTTTTTATACTATATAAAATGAAACTACCTAAGATAGAATTACATATTAGAAAAAAAAAAGTTATCATTTATATAAATTATTAAAAAACATTACTTAAAAATAAGTCCAGTGACAGTCAAATTGGACCTAATTGAGGTAGGTAGTAGTAAGCAATACTATCTCTAATTTATTTTACATATCAAGATATTTGTTGTATATGAATAAAAATTTGACACTTTTTTTAAGGAAAAAGTGCATATCAATCCGACTTTAAAATGTAACTAAAATTAAAATTTTAAATTATTTTATTTTATTGAATTAAAATTTAATTCAAAATTTAAAAATTATTTTATTAAATGTTAATATATTAAAATATATTATGATTTCTAAATTTAGATATTAATATTTAATAAGATAAAATTTCAATTTTTAAATGTAAATTATAACTTTAATTATTTTTAAAAATCAAACCCAATACACTAAACTCTTTTTTCAATATGTAATATTTATTAAACAATTTTATTTTGTAAAAAAACATTTAAATTATTATTCATATATTTAAAAAAAATATCACAAATACATTTAGCGTGAAAAGTGGAATCGATTAGAGGTTGTAGCATTACCATCCCACCATCAACATCAACATTAACTGAGAAAAGAAAAGATGGAAACAAGAAAGCTTGACAATCAATAACCAACTCTGACCCACAAAAAGGAAAATAAAAAGAAAGAAAGAAAGAAGAAAAAAAAGGGAATCCTAAAAACAAAAATTAAACAGCAAGTCTTCTTCATAGAACTCTCTTGAGATTTCGCTATTTTTTCTAATTGTCCCCAGAACTGATTATTTCAAATGCAACACAAAGCCCAAAATACCATAAAAATGCGCGCATGTTGTGTAGAGAAAGCATTATAGACATTAAACCAGACAATTGTTTCAGTTGAGAAGATCTTGAAGGTGCCACAGTATAAATAATCTTTCAACAAACCTAGTCGAAATCCTATATATTATGCAGAGAGATATAGTATGCGAAAATATCGATCGAACTGCTTATGATTATTCAGGTCAAAACTTGTAAATTAAACATCATTAGGTCAAATTTGAAACAAGCAAATTCAAATATTTAGGTTGTTATGTACTAACTACAAAAGAGCAAAGTTTATAATCTTGAACAAAGCTAGTCAAGATCAATTATATAAATATCGAAACTACTTATAATTATCAAGTTAAGACTACTAAATTAGAGATTATTAAGTTAAATTCAAAATAAGTAAATTAAAAATAAGTTATTCTAAACTACAAAAGAGCATAGTTCCAATTTATGTGGTATATGTGCTAAAGCAAAAGGAAAGAACACAAGAATATAAATCTAACTGTATAGGGGGAGAAGGCAACACTAACCTGGGCATGTTTTGCTTTAACATAGGGAGTGTCACCCTGAGGAACTTTGTGAATAACATGGAAAAGCTCTTCTTTTCTCTGCCCACTTCCCTCTTCCATCTCTTTCTCTTTCTCTCTCTCACTAGATCTCCACTCTTTAATTTATATACACTGCTGATTTGAGGGAAAGGAGAGTACTTATTTTTTCCCTTATTGAAGGATACGAAATGGAGGGGGTTCAATCATAGGAGAAGATTGAACCTGGACTGCTTACCGTCTATGTGCAGCTTCATTATTCTTATGGTTTTTTTTTTCTCTCTTTTGCTTAGCTCACCGGACATTCAACTGGGGCCACCACACCGCCACGTACCTCCTCTTTTCCTTTGGAAAGTAGACAACTACGATGTGATGATATATATGTAATTTTCTTAGGTTTAATCTATACTGTGTTTTTTTTTTTTTTTTAATAAAAATTATATTGGTAGGATTAGTATCTATTCTTAAAGATAGAAAATGTCAAGTCTAAAACTTGAATTATGGGTGCATTTACTTACATTTTAATGAAAAGCGTGGTCACAACGTCACCTGAATAAAAGGTAATATATTTTGTGTTTTTAAGTATAAAATAAGA